GAATCCAGGTGAGTAGGGAAGTTGCTCCTGCCCTTTTGGGATTTCCAGATGTTGGCTTAGGCAAGGATTTGTTCCCTTGGAGAGAGTGTTAAACAAATAGGTGTTACCAGGAGAATTCCAAACATTTTAAAAACATTTTTTATCTGATTATGTCAAACTTAATGAAAAGTTATTAGAAAAACATGAAGAGCTTCTGTATGTTGTTGACCCAGAATCCTCAGTCATTTACATTTTATCATTTGCTTCATTAATAATTCTCTCTCTGGGAATTTGAATTATGTCCTTGTGGGGTCAGAAAGAAGAACAGCAAGGACAAAATTTATGTCTTACTTTTTAACCTTGGATTCTTCTTGGTAGGAAAGATATGACTTTTCTCACAAAATTTTGAACATTTTTGAAATAAAAAATTTTTACCACTAGGGTTTCAGAAAACATACTTATCTGTAAATTTTGTTTATCAGACACTAGTGAAATTCCATAGATAAGGTTTACTTTTTCCTTTTTATACCTAAAACACATTAACAGTATGTTGACTGAAGAAAATAAGTATTGCTACTCATAGGGGCAGCCAGTTTGCCTTTCTACAACGTGTAGGAAAGCCAGCCTCCCCCACACTCAGAGGCCTCTCGTTTTAAAGTTATTTCTCCTTGTGCAGGAAGGCCTGTAATACAGCAGTTAGCTTGAAAGGGGTTACTCAGGCGGAGAGCAGCCATCAGAGGCAGTGTCTGTGTGGGAGAATATTGAGGGACACCTCTACAGTTATGGATCTTGGCTAAGAGCGTTTGGGCTTGTTTACTCTCCTTCACCCTTTTTTCTGTCTTGGGCAGACTGAAGGCATTCAAGGCGGCCCTCTTGGATGTGTTCCGGGAAGCGCACGCGCAGTCAGTGGGTTTGAACCGCCTCACGGAATCTATCAACAAGGACAATGAAGAGCCCTTCTCTTCAGTGGAGATCCAGACGGCTCTGAGCAAGATGCAGGATGACAACCAGGTCATGGTGTCTGAAGGCATCATCTTCCTCATCTGAGGAGCCTCATGTCTGAACTGAGATTCTCCCATGTTTCCCCTCCCCCCTACTCTTGGCCTAAGTCCCTGAGTAACTTAGGGACGTAAAAGTGTTAAATTGAACTGAGTTGAGGGACACTGGTGAGGAAGCCAGTCAGTACGCTGGAAGCTCCGGGAATGAGCGAGGAAAGCTGCTGTGCGGTAAGGAAAGGGAAGAGAGGGGGAAGGACCAGACTATTGCAGTGGCCCTGGACGCCCTCCTGCCTTCCTTCCCTAAACCACCCAGCTGTTACTGTCCGTAAATAACGTGACTCCAGAGTACTTTTTTGGGCACAGGTGGTTTCTGTTCATCTCTGCTTATTGACTGTTTTCTTTCTTTAGGGCACTTTGGTCTAGATGAGGCTTTGGGTTGTTCTGTCCTTGGGGAGAGAAGCTGAGGCGAGTTGTGTGGGTCAAGAAAGATTTCTGTGAAGTTAGGACTGTGTGTCATATGTGGTTTTGACCTGAATATGCAGGACATGGAATAAAGTTGAGTATTTTGCACACCTGGCCTTAATCCTGTGTGCCTTTTATAGACACCTTTGTTTCCTGTGCGCCTCCTGTGCCTGCATTTACACCAGGCCACCACAGGGTGGCAGCAGCCCCCCGTGCTCACTCTGGGAGGTCCTGTCTTCGGAATTTACCTTCTTCCTCCGCATTTCAGGCACAGTGGTTGGTGCAAACCAAACCCTAACAGTCTGGAGTGTCTAAATGGCTACCGGAGGCCAGTGAGTCCAGGGGAAGAATTAACCCTCTGCCTGGTTTTTCTGAGCCTGAAATTTAAGCCCCTTCACTGAGAAATAACACCTGCTATGTCAGGCATCTCAGAATCTCATGAGTTCTTGCCTGTAAAGGGATCCTATTACAGAATATTTTTGAAGTTACCTGGGTATCCACTCTTTGGGGTTCACTTATAAGCTTGTGGAAGGTAGGATTTTTCTCCTATTGTATAGTTTAAGTAGCTTTGGAAGACGTTTTGAATTTTCTTAAATAAAAAGAAAAAACAAAAAAGTGTGTGACATTCTGGTGGGCCTGGATTGGAAGCAGTTTGTTGGTGCCAGATGTGGTTCTGAGGAGATGTCATGCCAGTTCTCAGATGGAAAATTGTTGAGGCGCTTACTTCTCCTTTTCTGCTGAGGTAAAAGCCATGAAGCAGGTTTTTTTTTGTTGTTGTTGTTGTTTTTGGTTTCTTATGACAAAGGGATTTTTTTTTTTTCAAGAGAGGGCAAAATTGTTGGGGAGTTCAATTTCAACTTATGATTTTTTTGCACAGATGTGGGATCCAAGTCCTGTTGGAAGTGATCTAAAGAGCACAGTTTCAAAGTGGAGTTCAATGGGACAGGAAGAAGAAATTTGACATTGAGTGTTGGCAAAAGTCAGAATTTGTGCTAGATGTGGCAGTGGTTAGAAACATAAAACTAAAGTATAATTATGTATCAAGTGAGAGCACACATGCTAAGAGCTGTAGGAATTGAGGGGGTACCATAAGAGTGGGAGCTACTGATGGGACGGCTATGAAGTAAAGCTAGAGAGTTTTATGGGTCTTCTTAAATGACCAGTTCCAGAAAGAAAGTCTGAACATTTTGTCAATAGGACCCTTATGTTACTGTGTCCTTCACCCCTGAGGACACAGGGATGGAGAGGGAGAGCAGGTGTAGGGACCATTTCGGTGATAGGTATGATGTCAGGTTTACCTGGCCCACCATTTCTGCTGTCTTCAAGTTAACCAGAAGAGAAGGTGGAAGACTGCAGCAGCCACAGAAGATGTGAATTAGAATAAAATAAGGTGAGTTTTAGAAACTCAGTGAATCTTGATGTTGAGCTTTAAGAGATGAGTGTGTAGTTTCTCAACTTACAGGAACAGAAGAGTCAGTAAACTTTCAAAGGGTAGTCTCTTGCTCACTGCCGGGCAGTCCACTGGCCCAAGGCCGCTGCTCTGTTGGGCAGGAACTCACACATCTACAGGCCAGTTGCGCCTGAGGGTGTCGCTGTTGCCGCACGGCAGCAATTGCAGTGGTGGCCCAGATTCAACATTAAAAAAAAACTAAATTATCCACTTGCCTCATTCCAAAAGTGATGTCTATTTATATTTAGTTTTGACACCTGAAATTCTGCAGTTCAAATAATTTGTGGGGCTAAGAGAAGTAAGGTTTTTATGTGTTGAAAATTTTTGGCACCTATTCCTTGTAACTCTCCCAGATAAACAAAGTAGAACATGAAAAGGAAGTTTTCAAAAAAAGACAATTTGGTAGGTGTTCCTGGGATTGCATCCTCTGCCAGTTTACCAAGTAACTTCAGGTAAGTTTCGAGCTGTTCCTTATTTCAGCTATAATGTGGGAATAATTACTGCCTTGTGAGATGCAACTGGGACAGCAGGTGGCAAATTCTGCCTGGCATAGAACTGCTTCATGGTAGTGGTAATATTTACCATAGGTTCCAGGACCCATTAAAACAAAAATAATTCATTTCGATAAAGTGCTTAGAAACATAGCCCTTTCATTAGAACCATTTAAAAGGATTTTAAATTGTTGCATTCCTCGACTTTCTTTCCTCCCCTGCTTTTCTACTCCTAGATCCTTCCCTTACTCCCGGGGGTCCTTACCATGAGCTTGTGGCAATGGGTTCTGTAGCTTTCTCCCAAGGACAGTGTTACCTGCAGCAGGCCAAGATAGAGGGTTAGGAAAACGTAGATCAGAGGAGAAAGTCTCCCATAAGCCAAAGGATTGGCTAGTTATTTATTTCTCTGAGGTAATTTCAGACCACACCAGCTAACCTCACAATTGTTGACGTTGTGTGAGGTGAGGTCTACCCTGAGGGTTTGGTCAGTGGAGGAAGGTCAGCTGTGTGCTGGCTGCCTCGATACTCGGCCCTAACAGTAGATCTCCTCTCCCTCCCCCAAAGCCTGGTACCCTGCTCTACAGGTAGGGAAGTGGGTTGCACAGGAAATCCCACCACAGCCAGTGTGCAAAGCAGGTTACCAGCTTTTCAGATGTCAAAGCTGCAGAACCCATTGCCAGAGGGAACTGTGCCCTATACCGGGAAGCAATGGGTTACTTTTCTGATACTGTAGCTGAGTTAACATGCCAACCTGGGCCAGTCACTTCCTGAGAGGAAAGTGCATGGTTTCTTTATCTGGAAACGGAGTTGGGCGAACTAGGTGATCTCTGAAGTCCCTGTGGTAATGCAGCTGACTTTCCTTACACCCAGTGTCCATTCTACCAGAAGACGCCTCAGCCCAGGCACCACTTCCTGAAACCTGGGTTGGGCTGCTTGGAGATACAGGTCAGGATGGGTCTCTAACACCTCACTAAACGTGCCTCTTAAGGGAAGTGATTTCTATGCTTCCATTTTATAGGTAGTGTCCCAGGATATCTCCCATTACCTGAAGGGATTTAACTTCTAGAAAGATTTTAGAACAAAATTGTAATTCCATTTCAATTTGCTAAAATATAAACCTAGTTTACTTTCTTTTTCAGATTTGATGCCTTAGTGAGGTGTCTCAAATTCTGGCTGGTCTGTTACTAACCAGTATGTAATCCTAGTTCTGTTTTCTTCAGTTTTTCCTCAAGGGAGAGAATTGAGATTCTAAATTCATTCCCTGAATATTTTTACTATTAAGTCCTGAGTATTTTCCCACCCTGTAGGAGGATATTAGCTTCTGCTGAGATTTGCCATTCTGGCAAGAGTTCTCCCAGCAGGTGCTTTTTGTAGCAAGCTAAGCTTTCCTACCTTTAAGTACCCCGATTTAACCTTGCAACAGAAAGGCCAGCTCATGCCGTCTTGCATATGTGTGCTGCTATTCTAGTAACTTAAGTGGATGTAGTCCTGAATGAGAGCCATCATAAAGTCTAATAAACTCTCCATACACTAAGTATAAAGATGGAACTCAACTGTCTATATAATTCTATTTTTAGAAGTGTTATGACTAATAAAACATACCGTGGATTGTTCAGGAAGAAGAGAATAAAAATTATCTTGCCATCCTACTACAACTACTGTAGTTTATGTTTGATAAACCTTAAACCAGTTTGGAATGACACTTTTATCAGCAACTTTCAGATTAGACATTTGAGATTGAGATTAATAAACAGTAGTCTAGGAATTTAGAGGCTAAGAATGTTTTTGAAAGCTTGAATTTAGAGTCAGGTTTCTGGAAATCTGCAGAAGAAATGCAAGCATTCACATGCTGAGGGAGGGAGGATACCAGGAGAAAGTAAGGTCTAAAAGAACCGGGGTCTTCTCAAGGAGACCCCAAGGGTACACCTGTGAGGTCTTCCCTGTGGTGACTCAGCTTGTAGAAATTTGTAGGTTTAACTTCCTGGGAGCTGAAAACTATCTCTTGGTTCAGCTTCTGTCAAAGCTCGTGGTTCTGTAAGAGCTGGTGCCCACTTCTGCTCAATTCAAACTGATGAATGAGAAAGGTACCCGTGGGATGGAACTTGACTGGCGATAAAAAGGAAAAAGATCAAGCCAGTTGGGGAGCATGGCCATTTTGAATTCTATGCCATTTGCTCTGCCGGCTGAATAAAAGCTGTCTTCCTCTTAAACACGGTGTTTGGGTGTTCTGATAGGTGTTTGGATGTTCTGTTCTCTCCATTGGGCCTCATTTTCCTGGAACAATGCCTCATTTCACCCTAGTGGATAATAAAAAGCTAACAAAATTAGAGTTAATATAGGATGATGTATAAAGGTTATCTCATTACATTTTCCTACAATCCTGTGACAGATTTTATTCTCTGTTTTATAGAAGAGAAAATAGGTCTAGAGATACTGGATAATTTGCCCAGGGTCTCATAGCTAGCAGGTGGTGGGGTTTACGACTATTCTGATTCTTAACTGGCATACTTTAGCTAGCATACTGTGCTGCTGGCCTCAAAGGACTTCAAAGAGAGTGGGAGTGCTTTGGGGAGCTGGAGGTGGTGATAGCCACATATACAAGTGAACCTGTTGCAGGGGTGGCAGAATTCTAGTGTGACTAGAGGTCTGTGGGTACCAGTGTTCATGTTCAGAAATGAAATCAGAGACCAGCCTGAGCAAGAGCCAGACCCCATCTCTAAAAATAGCTGGGCATTGTAGCAGGTTCCTATAGTCCCAGCTACTTGGGAGGCTGAGGCAAGAGGATTGCTTGAGTCAAATAAAATAATGCACATGAAAATGCTTTG